ACCATCGAGTCCACAGGGGAGAGCCTTGGATTATTGCACTGCGCCTAGTGAGTGCTTCCATGTGGTTTCAAAGTTTAAGAATTTAAGAATTAAGAATTTTTAAAATTTAAATTTAAATTTAAGAATTTTAAAAAAAGTATTTCTAAGTTAAAAACTATAAATTGAGGCAGGTCATGTGACAATTGAGGCACTCGAGGTGAATAATAGTACAAGGAGAAAGGGAAATTTGCTATCATCCCATCCTTTTATTGACTGGAGTGGAATTCCAATATGGCAGACAGAGTGTCTGGTTATCGAGTTGGGAATAGTCAGAAGTAAAATCTTACAGGAAGTTATGTGGGTGGTTTGGTTTAAAATTAATGAGACATTAATAACACAAGACATTTTCATTTTTACATTTTATTTTTATCAAAAGAAAATAATTTAACCATATAAAGAAGGGGGGGCATTCCCCAACCAGGAAGCCAAGCGCTTCCTCTTCACAAGCAAAGGCTAGAACACTGAGCCCCGACAGAGCGGCCTGTGCTTGGAAGCACTCGGGTCACTCTCTAGTGCTCCTAGTGACAGGACTGACTTTTCCTGGCTCCTTTTCTCCCCATGGTGATGCAGTATGCTCACATTTTCGTATATTTCTTCAGACCAAATTATACATATTAACACATGAATGCAGAGTATGAAGAAGACACACACAACTGTTGAAATCTACCACTCGCACGAGACTGTTCTAGATCCTGACACCTATATTTAATGAGTTTTGAAAGAGATGGACAAATGTAGTGCTTCAAAAGCCAATGCTTCTTGAACTGGAGTAAAGAAAAACACAGAGGCCCATCTTGTCGTAGTTGTAGGAATTTGATCACCCAGAGCCTGGTGGGCCATTATTAATGACATCCCTCTGCCTTATTAAATGACATCTAGGGAGCCAAGCAGACGCACATTCCCGTAACTATAAAAATCTGCTGCACCAGGTAAATTCTGTGCAAAATGCAAATTCCTATGCTGGGGAAGAAATGAATAATGTAATCATTCTAAGTAATGGATGCAGACTCAAGGAAGTGGTTTCTGGCATGAGGCTGAGAACCGTTTATCTCTCATGCTGAGGACAGTGGTCACACCACACCGCTGCAAGGCTAAGCTTCCTTCAGATGCCAGCTTTAGAAGGCAGCATTTAGGAAAGGGAACTTCCGGTTGGTTCTAAGTTACTCACCGAGTTGTGAGCAATCCAAACAATCACTCTTTCTCTCCTCCTTCTCCCCCTCCCTCCCCTCCCAACTTCTCCCCATCCCTCCTTTCCCTCAGTCTCTCTTTTTCCTCTACATCTCACCCCCCACCCCTCCTCCCACCACCACCCTGCAAACAAATCACAGGTTGTGAGCTGTGGTTCTTGGGCCTTCCAAGAACCACATCCTCTGAGATGTCAAGCTTAGACCTAGCAAGGAGGTGAGAACAGCTCCCATGGCACCTTACAAAAAGGAGGGTCAGGGTGGCCACCAAAACTCAGAAAGCTTAAAGAGTTGACCAAGTGGAGAGATGGGAGACCTTGCTCCTCCATGTGTCTCAAAACGTGGCCAGGCACAGCTCTTGTGGAGGACAGTCAGTGGTCAGTGTCAGACACCATGAGCAGTGGCACTTGGGCTGCAAAGAATCCAAAGCCCTCTTTCTCCCATTCTGTGCCTGCACCCCTGGCACTCATCTCCATGAAGGAAGCTGAGGCACCAATTGCTTAAGACATGAAGGTACATATGAATAACCGCATGGCAAACAATATGCAGGCCTTGTTGCAAAATACTTTTTTTATATGTGGTTCTGGGAATTGAACCCAGGGCCTTATGCACACCTGGCAAGTATTCTACCACTGAGTTACATCCTCAGCATTGAAAATAGATTTGTTTTTCCTGAACCATCATTTGTTAAGCACTTGTAGTATTGTCAAACTGTACCAATGACCAACTGGTAAATGCTAGAATTTTTTTAATAACCCAAAATGAGTTTTGGGTTTTATGGGTGAAAGTTTTCTTTTAGTTGTCTTATAATTGTATTTCGCCTCAATAAAATTAGATTTATAAAAATCAGTGACTATTTGTGGCATTATAGAAAGGATTCCCCATTAAAACCAAACCAAACCAAACCAAACCAAACCAAACCAAACCAAACCAAAAAATATCTTACTTTAGGATACTTTCAGTAGCTAGCTTGTCCCATGGCCATTTTAAATGATTGTTTGGTTGAAAAAAAAATCTATTGAAATACAGAGTTCACACATTGATGTTGATTTAAAGTAAGTGACCCCTGGGGAGCCTGGCACTTCGTGCCCAGGTGAAGCAACGGGTCTGACCAGCTGCCTGGCTTTGTGAGAGACGCAGGGGTTTAAAGAGATAGAACCAATATCCTGCAGCCTTGGACCCAGGCTTGGGGGTGGCAGCTAGTCATGCTGGGTCAGAAGAGGCAGAGCCCCCACTGTGCTTTTTGGAGCTATGATTATGACATGGGCCTGGTGAGCCTCTTGTGTCTTAACAGTCACCTGGAAATAAAGATCCAGGACAGTGGTTCTCAGCCCTCCTAATGCTGTGACCCTTCAGTACAGTTTCTCAGATGTGTGAGGACCTCCAACCATGAAATTATTTTTGTTGCTGCTTCGTTACTATAATATTGATACTGTTATGAATCACAAGGTAAATCCAATGGTCTTAGGTGACCCCTGTTAAAGGGTCATTAGACCCCCAAAGAGGTCATGAGCCATAGGTTGAGAACCACTGTCCTGTAAAGCAGTCCTGCCCCTATTGTCCTGTAACTCCTGAGACAAAGGAGCCTGTTCCACCTACATACACGCTCTCTGCTCTCAGTGTTGTGCTTTTTGTTTGAGAAACTCTGACTTAGTCTGGCAGTGAGTGGTGGCACGCACTTGGGAGGAAGAGACAGGCAGATCTCGGTGAGTTCAAGGCCAGCCTGGTCTACAGAGTGAGTCTCGGGACAGCCAGGCCTATACCGAGAAACCCTGCCTCAAAAGCAAAACAAACAAACAAACAAACAAACAAAAAAACAAAATAAAATCAAATTAAAATTAAAAATTCTGATTTATAAAGTGGGTGGTGGCACTCCAAAGTCAGGAGTTCGGGGTGGGGCTGAGGGTGGGGATTAGCCCGTTTTTCCCCTCAGCTCACATACCCCATAGCGGTGGTACCAGAACAGAATTTGCATATCCAGACTGTTCTTCAGCATCTTGAGCATGACGACTCCGGGGCAACGTTTTCCATGGGGTATGCTTCCAGGCTGTGTGGACACACACGTCAAGGAGCTCGTGGTTCCTCTATCGGCTACGCCCACCAGGATCCAGCCCCACAGATGCGCTCAGCTCCTCCATCCGGGTCCCTTTCTCATTGATGTCTCACTCACAGAGCCAGTCATCGCCAGGCTCCCCTGCTGCCTTTCTCGCATACAGGTCTTCCACAGGGCAGCCGATCACCACGCCACTCTCATGTTGTTTAGGAAGCACTGAGGCAATGTCTAGTTCCTTTCAACCCCTCTGTGCTGCTGTTGGTTAGGGTACCATAGGTGAGATACATCTGAATAACTGCGTGGTGTCCACAGATGTGGACTAAAAAGAAAATAATAATAAGGGGAAGCTGCTTTTTCACTGAGGTTCTCTGTGGGTAACAGCAAAACTGGAAAAGTCACACGAAAACACTTGGACCGTACTCCCTCACAGGTGAGGATTTAAGAAAAAAGCATGTTGGCACGTGTGAGGCAGGCTCTTCTCACGGCTGCCAGGCCTGGGAGCACAGACGTGAGTGCCATTACCTTGGAGTGAAGCCAGAAGCTGGGCCAGAAGTCACAAATTGTACAAAATCATAACGAGGCGAGTAGAAAAATTGTAGAGGAATGAGCAGTGTAAACTTCTGGAAAGTTCCCTCTCCCATTTAACTGGAAGAAGAGGAAGGCTGAGAGCCTGAGGCCTGCACAGTAGGCCAGCTGAGGCAGACCCGGCCTCTGCACAACGACACGGCACGCCAGGTAGGAGTGCTGGGGGTTTGATCTGTGCTGTTCGGAGATGCGCAATACAAAGGTTGATTTAATTTGACAGCAAAGTAACACCAAGCCCCCAAAATAAAATTAGCAAGATAGAAAACAGCGTCAAAACTCCAATTAGTTTGATGTCAAGGAAGCTTCCGGAGGAAGTTTGAAAGGCTCTATCATGAGGAACAGGCATCACTTCAACCTGCACAGATTACTAAAATGTAACCCTCTAATTGAAATTGCTCATAGCCCAGTATGACAAAAAGAATCAGAGGGGGGAAAATGAATTTTCCCTTCAAAAAAAAATGACTCATTACAGTGACTATTTTACTGACTTAATGCAATGTTCCTTTGCAAGATCTTAAAAAAAAAAAAAAGAAAAGAAAAAACACAAGGTCTTTTTTATGGGGGGGAGGGGGTCTCACGGAAAAGGCACCAGGTACAAGGGCTGTACGTGCTTGTGTTTTGGGACCAGAAACAAGTACTGACCATTTGTGCAACATACAAAAGGGCCTTAGCAGTTGTGATGGATATTTACAGTGTCCATTAAGAAGATGGCTGGCCCTGACCAGTTTTCGAATGCATCTGTGGTTAGTCTCTGAAGTGTGTAGGCAGGTCTTGGTGTCCAGTTTACATCCCATCCTTTTTTCTCAAACTACCTGGATGGCCCCAAATTTGCTTGTCACTCCTAACTTAGTGATGGTGGTGGTGCCGGGTCTCACCGGTCAGGAACAATGTCGCATATGGCTCGTCTGGTTAGTGTCATTTTACTGGCTGAGGCAGTGGATTACAACATCGCTCATGCCGGAGCTGTGTCCATGGAGCCTCTTGACATGGCACTTCCAGCCATCTTGACTCTTTGAGATCAATGTGAGAAGCCCAAGATCTGTCTGAGAGAAGCTAAAGAAAGCTTCGGCTGGATCTGGGCATGGTTAGAGTTGGCTTGAAGAAATCTCAGATGGCTTTCCCAGTCTATTGATGTTTTATAAACAGAGTTAGGTGCCCATTACACTTGGTCCTTGACCATAGCCACCATCTTTCTCTGGAAGCATATCATATCTCTATAACCAGTCTGTCCTCATCATCGCTGCTGGTGTCACTGAGCTCCACCCGAGTCTGCTTTCGCATTCCTTCCAAGCTCGTCTTTCGGATGGATCTCAAAGGGGCTTCGGGGACCTCTGAGGGCTCTGCTTGGTCAGCAGGAGCTGTGACACTCCTGGGGGTGGTTAATGCTTCAGCTTGGCTAGTCCCATCCTCACTTCCTGATGCAGCACAGTGGACAGCCCCTTCCCCACATCCATATTGGCCCCAGGAAGAAAACTCTCCCTGGGCCCTCGCTTCCCCCTGTTGTGAGCTGATTGAACTCGGTCCTGAAGGTGGCATTTCTACACTAGTCTTCCCAGGTGACCTTTGGCCAGAGGAAGGCCTCTCTGGAAGACATGCCTGCAGCATGCTGTCCGGCACGACTCCTCTGTCTGGGGAGCTTTGTGCCACAGACTGCTCTTCAGAGGACTCTGTGCTGTGAACCCCCAGGGTGCTGTGTCCTGTTCTTGTCCCCACAGAAGCACAGATGGCAGCCACAGAGGTAGCGGTGTCGTGGTGTGGAAATGCTCCTTTGGGTCTAAAGGAAGCAGGTGGCTCTGGAACTTCTGGGGAGGTGCATGCCTTGGGAGCGATGGAGACTTGAGCCTGGGAAGGCAGCAGCTGAGTCCCTGGCGGTCCAACATCAAGACCCTTGTCCTGGGGCAGAAGATCTTCCTGAGACACTGCCAAGAACGTATTAGATTGCAGAGATAGTGCCGGCCCGGTACCATGTTTCTTCTCCTGAGAACAGTCATTCTGCTCACCAGCAGTTGGAGAAACACCCTACAACACAAATGCAAAGGGAAAGAAATAGGGGGAGAGGTTAATCGGTGTAGAGAAAACTGTGATCAGAAGCATGGTCCTGTAATGAAAGCGAGGTCTTGAGGTCTTGACGACTCTTTCCTGAGCGTGGCCCCTCAACAGGATCCCTCGATAAGTTTCCATTAATAACTAATGAGCTCCTGATTGGTACAAAATAGGTCACTGTGCATTCCCATTGTGTTGTGTGAAGGCAAACAACTCCACTACTCAGCTGGCCCCACACTTCCTGTCTCCAGCCAGCAGGATGGGTCAAGGGGGCGTGTGGTGCCGACACAGATCCGCCTGGGATAGTTTCACACTGCAGGAACATCTGCAGTATAGCAGCACCTTCTTATGTGGGGATTAATCACACAGACTTGAGGCTTTCCAGAGAACATCCCAACAGTTTCACAACCAAAGACAGCCAACCGCATGTGTGACATACGAAAGTCAGGAGATAGCATCCTGTGGGAGTCAACCTTGCTCACCTGGGCCCTCTTTGTTGTTTGTCACTGCATGCACCAGGCTAGCTGCCTCAAGAACTTTTAGGGATTTTCTTGTCTCCACCTCCCATCTCCCTGTATGAGTGCTGAAGTTGTAGGCTCTCAAGATAGGCACTCAGCATTGCTGTGGGCTCTGGGATTTGAACTCAGGTCCTCACACATGCACAGCAGGTGACTTTACCTACTGAGCCATCTCTGCAGTCCCAAACGTTGGCTAATTTTTCAGTGTAAGATGTTTGGGGGTGGTTTTGTCTGGTTTTAGTGTTCAGGGGAGCCCTAGAATGAGACGAGGATATTTTCTGCATGGGCAGTGATATGGGAATGAAGGCATTAAGTCTAGATGACAGAGACATATCAGAGAGACACCAGTGAGATATCAGAGTGATACCAGGACCTCTGAATGATGGTTCCCACCTTCAGAGATGACTTGTCTATTTCCAGGATGGTCTCTGAGCTTGTGCCAGGAGAGATGGGTTCTGAAGTCTGTCTGCAGTCACCTTCCTTCTCACTGTCCCTATGATCAATGGACAAGTCTGTGCAGGCACAAGATGTCTCTCCTTGAAGATTTAGGCCTGAAAGAGGGAACACATTTGTTTATAGACATCTAGAATCAGGAACTGAGGCAAGAGTGTTGAGGAGACTTTCTGGGTCTCCACAACCACCCTCAGCTCTGTGAGCCTCAGCTCACACAGCCAGCACAGCACTCTGATTCTCCAACCAGCTCACACTCAGCCAAACGCATTCTCTTTGCTTCCTTCAAAGAAAGAAATGGCAAAACCAAGTCCCCAAGTATGACTCCATAAGCGTATACATTTCAAATAACGTTCCACACAGTGTCTGCTCTCATCGCAGAGTATCCTTCACCCAGCTTTCTTTGGGTTAATTTTAGATCACTTTGAGTCTTCTGGATCCAGGTAGCCAGACTAGAGAGCTCGATACGGTACACCATGGCGGGGGGGGGGGGGCTCCTTGGTGATGACACTTGGTCTCCACTGAAGTGCCAGGCAGCAGGGGGTGAGGTGGGTACCTGTGACATTGTCATTTACTGTGGCAGCAGTCTCCACATGGAAAGAAAGAGACAGACTTGCCTCTCACACCTGCTCTCCTTTGTTCCTCCTTGCCCTCTCCTCCTTTTCCTCACAAGGAACAACAATCAGGCCAAAAGAACCATAGGGCGGTCCTTTCCAAGAGGTTAGATTGCATTATAAGATAAGCTGAAAACAAAATCCAGAATGCCTGGATCCCTGGAAGATGTACTGGGCACATTGTCAAATCCGCTCTTATTTTGATTAAAGTTGCACAAGCACAGAGTTTGAAAACCCTAAACCTTTCTGCTTATTAGGAAAGCTAGCAACTCCTGCCCACCCATCCACCCTTTTTCATTTTGGAGTCTTCTAAGATTTATTTCTCTTTCTCATACTTCTATGCTTACAGATTGACCTATGACCTCCCTCGAAGCCAGAAGCAAGCAACTGTTCCTCTAAGACCCTCTTTCCAAGACTTCAGCTCCCTTGCATGTAGCGTTTTTGTCACACTTGTCCATCCTCTCCATCCTCATGTGCAGATCCCTGACTCCACACCTTGTTCAGGTGGCTATTTGAAGCCTTCCTCCTGTCTAGGTGCAGGCCAGTCTCCACTGAGCTGCGCTAAACACTAGGATTGCACCGCCTTTCTTAAAACAATTGTTTTCCTCAGCATTAGTAGGTTTTGAGGTCCCCATCACTTTCTCTATTTCCCTTTCTAGGAACATATTAAAATCACTTCCCAGATTCCCCAACTGTTTAAGGTTTGCTTTCTCTCTGGACAAGCTAAAACTCATGCCTCAACTATGTAATAAATTTTATGGGCTCCCTTTTTCCCCATTCAAAAAGAAAATTGAAGGAAGGGGGGGGGAAAGGGAGTCAGAAAAGGTTGGAGGGAGAAAGGGACAGAAAATTGAAAGAGGGAAGAATGAATGGAGGACAAAGAAGAGACAAAAGAAATGGTAAATACAAAAAGCAATTTAATGGGCTTCACAGGTGGTCTTCCATTGTAGGCCTCACTATATATAGTCAAAGTTAGAGATCTAAGATGAACATTGTGTTCAATGTTATGAATTTGTAATCCCAGAACTGGAGAAACAAAGACAGGAGGATCCCTGGGTCTTGCTGGCCTGCCAGCCTAGCCAATGTGTGAGCTCCAGGCCAATGAGATGCCTTCTCTCAAAACAAACAATAAAGATGGCACCTGATATATCCTCTGGTCTCCACACATATTATCACCTCCCTGAATCATCTCCTATGGACATGGGTCTCACAAACCCATCAGACACCCAATTCTCCTGGGCTTCTAAAAGAAAACAAGGTGTATAGAATCACATCATCCCTTGCATTTAAGCACAAAAATCTAAAAAGATCTTCTATCTCCACAGGTCAGCAGCTAGGTTTACTGTGTACAGTAATTCTGAGCAAACCAGCTTTGAAAACGAACAGGGAAGTGCAAAAGTTTAGGAAGCTGTGAGTTTCCCTTCAGTACCATCTCAGTGAGCGCATGTGTGATGGTGTTGTCTCTTACAAAGCAGCTGGCTGCTGGGACTTCTCATCTGCTCAGCAAATAAATGGGACCTGAGTTCCTTCCACAAAGCAGGCTTCCAGCTGAGAGGAACCTTGTCCTCGAAGGATTCTGCTGTAATGGGGATCAGGGGAGAGACACAAGAGAGTTTTAGATGGTGCTGGGTTCATGAAGCAATTAGACAGAGGGCATCAGCACAGCAGAGTGTGACAATTAGAGACTCTTGTAGAGAGAACACGGCATGGGAGGTAATGGAGAGTCTAGCCATAAAGGTAGGGAAGTGTTCGAGAGGATGATAAATGACACAGAGTGATAGCATTGTCCACATACAAAGGTGTTTCAGAAGAAGGAAGAGCAAAGGCAGAGGCCCCACAAGGAGAGAACAGAGGGACTAAGAGGCTGGAGCGAGGCCGGTGACACCAGCGTGTACGGGTGTTGTGAGCAGAGGCAGAGGTGAAGTCAACAGGGCTTTCATCTCAGAACACACATGTCTCTCAGGAAGAAGCCAATGTTTTCAGTGTAGGCCAACATTTCTTTTTCAAAAATAAATGTTGACGCCACTTAAAGATCAGCTTGGAAGGAGAAAGCATGAGAGGTAAGAAATCAGTCTCCAGGTTCCTAGGGTCATCTAGGAACCCGGATTCCAGGCAAGGAAAACCAAAGTGGAGAAAGCCCACGTCCTCAGGCTCTGCTTTCATCCTCACCTGGGAGGTGTCAGCATGGAGCTGTCACAAAGCAAACATGGCTACAGCTCCACTGTGGGCCAAGGACAGTCGCTCAATCTAAGTGGATCAAGCTTCATCCCCACGGTGACAAAATGACCAGACAATTCATTCAATTCACTGAAGAAATAAAACCAATTAGTATAGAGAAGATAATCAGATTGGCCAAATGTCTTCCCAACAGGTTGTTTGGGTTTTTAGCTTAAGCAGAAAGGTCGGTGCATATTTGACCAATAACTTCCGGCTCATCCAAGAGAGAGAAGGGAGAAAATCTATTGATTTAATTTGCTTTCAACCCTGCAGTCTACAGAGAAAAGTGAATTATCTCTAACAATTGTGAAAAATGCCCAAAAAATGTCACTGAAGTGTGTTAAACTAATTTGGATTATTGAAGCAGGACACTAACTTGCTTTGAAATGAATGGCCCCTTTCAAAAAGTAAGTCGTGCCCTGGCCAAATTTTAAAGTGCAAAATGCCATCCTGTTTAGGTTTCAGCTCCACACCCTATGAATCACTTCCCCCACCTTCAGAATTATAGATTCTGCATCTCCACGCATCTTCAGAACCCGGCTGCCCACACTCAATTACAGGGATCTTATTAGAGAATCGTCTCTCATCGAGGCTCTCTGCTTCGTGCTCTTCTCCTGATTAAAGGCCGCACTCTTAATAATTTCTCTCAGAAATAATTGCCGTGCCACGTCAGGAGGAAGAGACTGCTTAAGCGGGTACAGCAATTGCAAATTTAGCTCTCTTGAAGATGCTATAAGAAACTGGTAAAATAATTAAAAAGAAAACTCAGGCAGAGACAACAGGACAAAACTGTCAATGGAATTATCGGCCTTTTTAATGTCAAATCTGCTTTGGGCTGTCTCATTTCCAGGCCTTATTAAAATGCTAATAAATTTATTACTCAAATATCATTATCTCAAAATGTGAGTCATTTGAATAATTTCTTTTGGTCTGTCCCAACAGCTCCCCAAACTCCATTCATGTGGAGGCCACAGACTCAGAAATATCAAGTAGGAAACTGAACTTCCAGGATCAGCCTCGTCGCCCTTCTAAGCAAGCGGAAATTATAAACAGGAAGGTGGGATCGTCTCTGCAACTTGTAATTGATTTGAGATTAAATTGTTCCAAAGTGTCTCTGCCATTAAAGAACACATAACGTGCTGGCAATTAAGACAAGCAATCACTTACAAGAAAGCTGGGCAGATCTTTAAAACTAATCATGTTGTGAATGGTTATTCGCTCATTTATTGAAGTATTTATTTAATCCATTTTAAGTCTATATTTTTTGAACCCATATTGTTGAGGCTTGAATATTGACCAAACACTGAATGCAAGCCAATATTGTGCCAAGAGCTAAGATGTTTGTGCAGAGGTTAAGGGAGGCTTATCCCCTTCATGGAAATTACTATCTAATGGGGACAAAGATTTATTTTATTCTTAGTTTGCTATTGCTGTTGTTGGAGGGTACACATATCACAGTTCTCCTGTGGAACTCAAAGGACAACTTTCAGGAGTCAGCTCTTTCCTTCTACCCTGTGGGTTCCAGGGATTGAACTCATGCCATCAAGCTTGACAACACATGCCTTTACCCACTGAGCCACAATATCTCTCTCTCTCTCTCTCTCTCTCTCTCTCTCTCTCTCACACACACACACACACACACACAATATCACCAAGCAGCTGTCATCAGCACTGTGAAAGATACAGCAATAAGATGCTCAGACTGAAAGGTGATGACCCAAGCCCACCTCTGTTCACAGAAAGAGTTGAAACCATCCAGGAAGTGCCTGTCCCCCGGGGCTATATCACTAATAAACCTGAATTATTCAGCCATGTAATTATCTGACAGATTTTCTTGGAGCCCCTCTTGCAGAGCTGCTGTATTGTCTGAGGGTGCCTTCATTTGTTACTGACATCTTATGGTTTATGCAATCTCTTTAGGAAAACAGTATGGTGCAAAGTGATGGCAGAGGGCCCGACAGTCCTCTCAGACAGAGAAGATGGGCAATGTCTGAGGCTGAAGGCAGCCAGAAAGTAACAGGAAGTAACAGAAGCTGGTGGGTGGTTGGAAATCCGGCAGAAGCAGCTTCAGCCTCCAGCTCTACCAGCAGGAGGGACCCAAGAGGGGACCAGAAAAAGTATGTTTATCAAGGGGCGCCTCTGACGTTCTTGTTCTAGCACAATCTTTGGAAAGTTCTCAGAGTCATCACTGAGCCTTTTCTTTCAGAGTTCACTTTCTCGGCGGTTCTCATCACTCCAATTGCTATGATGAAAGGCAATCAGGCCAAGTT